TAGTAGGATGTCAGTAGAGTATCAATAGGGTGTTAGTAGGGTGTTGGTACAGTGTCAGCAGGAGTAACAGGGTTCAGTACGAGTATCAATAGAAGGTTAGTAGCACATTGGCCATGTATCTTAACTGGTAGAGGAGTATCAATCTGATTAATTCACAAATGTTTGATGGTTTTCTTTGACATAACAAATTACCTGTGCATATAATGTCTAATATTTAGTAAACGTATTTTACCTTCAGGACAGATCAGCAGATGAGGCCACTGTCCTCTTGTTGTCAGTGTTCTGTATTTGACATCTTCAAGAGACTGCACYCTTGATTTAGGGCACTCTCTTCTGACACCAATTGACTCTATTGCCATTAACAGGGCTAGAAATCAACAAAACAATAATATAATCACAGAAAAAGTATAATTAGAAAAAAATATTGCTAATGGCCGATTATTGGTAAGGTGGTGTACAGCCAACAAACACTCGACCGTTGGAAATTGCAATCCTTATCCTAACAGGGGTAGTGAGATTTTTATAAAAGTGGACAGTGCAAAAAATTAGTACCAAGGTTGTAAAAACAAGGTACACATCTGTCAATAAAAAAAGCAATTACAAAATGGGAAAGTGGATGGGAAATATGAACAAAACAAAAAATAAAAAAATCAGCTGAAATAAATGTGAATATGGATAGGAAATGTGAAAGAGAAAAGCCAAACAGGTGAAAGAAATGGGAACATGGATAGGAAATATGAAAAAGAAACCCAAAAAAAAACTGAAAGGGATAAAAGAGGTTTATTTAGTTGTAATAGCAACTACCACAGGAATCCCAAGGGGATAGGGCAGATGTTATATATCTTTATAATGCTTACGTGCAGTAATTGGGCTTTGCAGGTTTTCTATTTTCGATAACCCAGAAGGTACCATTTCAACTACACTCAACAACAAGGTATCCATGAATGATGAATGAGGAGCGAACACAACGATGGGAGCCTCCTCTGGCGAGGCTAACTTTCCTTTTATTCGCACTTTATGAAAGCCACTGATATAAAGAAGTAATCTGGTGTGAAGCTGCAAGACTTTCTTCATCTTTCTGTGGTTATCAATTGAAGGGTAGAAAGAAAACAAAAAATTAAAGCTGAAATGTTTTTTTTATTTTTTTATGTTAGTTATGAGAAGCTAGATCCAAACCAGAAATATATAAATGACATAAAAAAGACAGTGCTATTAACGGTAATAGATGATTAACTCAAAGATTACATTGTTCCAGCTACCAGCCAAATGGTGGCAATAGATTGGTCAACTGATTACCCAGTCAGAACAGCCAGCCAATTAGGCCATTTGCAGGACATGACTGTTACTGGAAGATCTTTTGGCTGAAATGATTCATTATCAAAGCAATATATCAACTCTCAACTGTTTGATGTAAATCCAACTGTTGTGGACAAACATGCATGTGTGTCATAAACTACATGACTACCCAGTTTAACCCAGACTGTGCCTTACATGTAAGTGATTTAACAAATTGTACTTTAAGGTTTAAAATAAGCAGCAGAATTTTTTTAGTTTAGTTCACATTCTCCATGCAATAATTTTAACAGTTAATAAATATAGAGCTTCAAATTCCTTTTATATTATATTTAAAGGTGCGTCATTGACCCAGGGGGTGGGGGGGGGGTACTCCGCCAGGATTTGAGTAGGGATGTTCCGCTGGGATTCTGAAAGGGGTACCCTGTTTATGACAAAAAACTCAAATTTGTAGACCCTGTTTATGATAAAAGATATAATTTATTGCACTGTTTCAATTATCATGCCAGCTCGCATATCGCTTTTTGAAGACCATATTAACCAGTTTCGGTCAATACAAAAGGATAAACCCTGAATATGAAAGGAAACTCAGGAAGAACTTGGAACTTGAGTGAAATTGCATGCCCTGTTTATGACAAGAAGCTCRAAAAACCATACCCTGTTCAGCGGATCATCCCYGTATAGTCCAYATATRGGAGTACCCCCCAGGGTCATTGACTTAATAAAAATTTTAATGGTTTAGCTCAGGTTTCAGTCCTTCRACAAGGCCTTCATCAGTGTGTTATGCATTATATATTCCATGATTTAAAACAAGAATAATTCTTTATAATTTAGATAGTCGTAGGCATTTATTTACTAACATTAAATTATTATTTTATTACCTTTTCCAGGTTGGAAGAGGTGTTTTATAGTCATACCGATCTGCACCATGTGCTATCACCAGACTCCAAAAAAGCACAGACACAAAAACAATAAGAAAAATGGGAAAACGAATGGGAAATATGAACAAGAAACCCAAAAATAGCTGAAAGAGAACAAAAAAATGCTTATTTAGTTGTCATAGCAACTACCACARTAATCCCAAGGGGGAATTGGACATTTCTATTTTTCATGATAAAAAGCAGTGGAATYCTTCATACATGTGACCTATCTCATTTCTTTAACACATATGTTACCATAACTTTAGGGGAACATACATTATTTACTGGTTGGATYTAGGGGGACACATTAAAAAATGTATCCTGTTTGAATAGAGGGCCACGTAAAAAAAATTTAAGTTGGGAAGTGGCCATACATTTTTTTACCTTACAGTTCACAAAATCCCACCATCCCCCCCCCCCTCCCCCATACCCATAAACGGCCCCATATTTAACAATTATTGGCCAAAGGCAAAGTGATTATCGGTGGAATATTTACCGAGCCGTGAGTCTTCAAGCAGCGAGGTAAATATCACAATAATCACTGAGCCTGAGGGAAATAATTGTTCTTGTATGATATCTTTAGACTTGAATATCAGAGAATAGTCAAAATTGAGGATTTAAAAAACGTTTTAGTAATTATTTCCAATCTTGAAAAGTTTGGAAAACCTCATAATCTCCAGTGGTGATTATCGTCTTAGAACACCGGTAGCTCAACCAATCACAGCCTGAGAAACTCTATATTCAAGTCTAAAATTATACTGAAAATGAATATTCAAGTCTTAGAAGAGTGGGTTTTATATGATAGTAGACAATACAAGGTTATTATTTATAGCACAACAGGCAAGGGTTGGAGATGAGGGAATTAAGATGCAGGATTGTCCTAGCTAGTATTTTTCTAATATATCCTCAGCTGTGACTTACTCTAATTGAATGTCCAAAAAAATAATTTGTCAGACAGATTTTAAAAGTAAGATGCTGTAAGGATAATAAGGAGACAACTGACAAATATTATTTTTTAAAAACTTGATAGGATAAATGAATCAGCTTAATTAGTGATAATGGAAAATAAGCCTTTAAGGATATTTTTCKAAATAATTACACATCTTAAACTGGAAAATTAAATTGCCTACTTTATCAGTTATAAAAAGATAATTTTCTGCATYGAGACATGTTTATTAGACTGTTTGACAAATTGAGGTTTTACTATATCTCAGCAACAAACATTCCGTATATAAATGCTTTTCAAAAGACCTGTTTAACTTGGGCATAAAGTTTCCCATTCTAGACCACGTATCATTCTCTTGAGAAAAAGATTCTTTGTTTGTGTTGTATCCATATTCATGTGTTTTCTCATGCGCAAACGTTAAACAAATAAAATGATACTCTAGGGAATGACACCTAGTCTGAAATAAAAACACATTATGCTTATGCTAAAATGGTCTATCCTTCTATTAGCTGAGAATCGAAACCTTGGCCTTCTCTGGGCATGGAATATGATGGCGTAATGTCAAAAGAGGACTGTTAAAATTCTGAGAAATCTATCCCTCGTTAAATGTGGTTTAAAGTTGTGCAACAATTTTACATGTTGAGATTAAACTTATCCATTAAGCTTAGAATGTAAGTATGCAAATTAAAGGTATAAATAATTAATGATAAGAGAAGAATAAAGCCATATACCACAACAAATTATATATTATGATATGCCTGGTAAAKATTTATAGAACAATTTACAAGTAAAAGTTAAATGAAAATAGCTGTTAAATTGAAAAAAATATATTAACAAATTTTATTAACAAAGGAATTAAGAAATMGTGAAAAATTCAAAATAACAAATTAGAGTTCGTTGCGAAATATATATATCTCTTTTGCTGAAAGCCACAACACCAACACACCGACATTTTTATACTGTTTCCAATCTTTAATACAAACATTGAAGCTTATTAACTATACAGTTTCAAATCTCTCTTCACGGGATAGTTAATAAATCAGCTGAAACACAAGTATTTCYGCGTTTATATGCGTAGTCAGCTTCTAAAAATAATTCCAAAGACCTGCCAAAATTCCCTTAAAAAATGGCAATAGCACGATATTAAAATTTATGAACGCTACATACGGAATAACCTAAAACCTCAGCTTATTTTAGATATATATTTTTTCATTTAAATATACGAATGAGTCTAAAATTGTGCGAAGAAGAAAGAAAGAGATCGTAAAGATAAGATTTTACCTCAATTTTTTTGCTCCATGTCAGATGCAAACGATGTTTGAACGGGTTTTTTATTGGAGGCTCACGTAGCTGTGTAGTTCGATAAAACTTCTCGAYTTCTGTCTCAACAAAAGACTGCATCCTATAGAAGCTGATTAAGAGATAGGAAGTTGGATATAGAGTTTTTTGATTCAAAAAATTTGAGGAGGAAAATTACTTCCCTCATAAACAATGTTGATGTTGATGTTGTGGTCAAGTCGGACAGTGGGGACTGGGAATAGGTAATACGCTGACAACAATTCGCAGGCTCAAGAGAATTTATTTTAGTTCACTGAATGAAAAAATGAATGAATGAATAAATGGGAATGAATGATAACCTTTTTTTTTAATTTCCTTTCTTTTCTTCTTCCCCCTTATTTTATACCTGGTAGACAGGAAATCCGGTCTTGCTTTCATTTTTTTACCTCTTTCTTTCTTTCTTTCTTCCCACACAATTTTGTATGGCGAAAATATGAGGGACTGTATTCAAGTGGTTGAACACAAGCCTATTGTAAAACGCGATGGGTCGCAAAAGAAGGAACATTTTTTTGCAGTGAAGTGCAGTCAATAGCTAGAGTGTGTATACTAACATTTTTTGCAGTGAAGTGCAGTCAAGAGAGTGTGTATACTAACATTTTTCTGCAGTGAAATGCAGCACCTGCTAGTAAGTTGATATCAATCAGGCGTTCCTGTAGAGCACCACAGGAACCCCTGCGYTTCTTCAAAAGATTTTAATTTGCTTATTTTTGAATTAAAAAACTGTTTATCACTCATTTTAATGTAAATATGACTTTTGCGAGAATAATCAGACAATTTGGAACTAATTCGATAAAGTTTAAGTCATAATTACGGTCCTTATTGAGCCTGCATTTCATACCGCTGATCGCCTCATAAAATCCCCTTAAATCTGTTAATCATACCCTTCCGATTAGGATCCAGACCGTATCTCAATGGTTTATCAATCTACATGGTAAAATGTGTTTATTCTGAATATTTGGTGCTTGTATCACTAATTTGAACAATTTGGCTACTTTTGTCCATTATCTTCCGGACTTTAGAAAGCTTCCCTCGCCTTGGCAGCTGTTGGGGATATAAAACTAATGCGAATCCATGCACCGATCCACACTCAGTTTGGAGGTATTAAAGCAAGACAATATTAAGGCTGCAATTGTCTAGTACATACGATTTTCATTCTTGATTTTGATTGCCTCTCGAACGCCCCTACATCGTTTATTGGTTGATTTTCTAGTAACCCGTATCAATATGGCGACTTGTCAAGAGATGGCGGACGAAAATAGTACATTCCCTTATTTCAACAATGCATATGAATGTCAAGACGAAAGATTGTACGTTGTGCTACTATAAAACATCGAAGGTATGTGTAATAAAAGTTTTGATCGTGAACGCAATTTTGCATCGAAAACGCCACCCGGTAAATGATATATGACTGGTATATGTACCTAGTATATACCATAATCATTATTCGCTGTTGTTATTCCTACATAAAATTTCAATTTTTACTGTTTGATTTTTTAGATCATTGTATTTCTTTTTTGCCTTTTTCTAGATCGAGGAGAGGTAGTGATACATATATGAATTTACATTTTACTCCTGATGACGTCATTATTGTCGAAGACCCATCCACTCGTTCTCCGCCAGGATTGCTGTATGTCGAGTTTGCAATAGTTAAAAAGATCAACGGCAAAACCTATGTCGTTGATCCAAAGCGACTATGAAATTATACCACATGATAATGAGACATCTAACAACATATTATCAACGTAATGCAATCTCATCCGGTGGAATCACCGAAGAATAGAGCTTCGGCTCGCTCACCTGGTAATTTCCAGACTGCTTTTGTTGTTGTTTTGGTACTCTTGGTGGTCTCTTTGACGGTAGTTGTAGTATCGATATTCATTTTACAAAGGTACGTCTTCCTTTATACGAATAATGCTAGTTGAGGGTCAACAACCCCCTTGCTCTGGTTGTCGAGATAAATTTTGGCATGGCACCTGTTCTGCATTTCATTATTCTATCAACCTATGTGTAGCTTTTTATCAAGCTGCATGTTGCATGTTGCATATTGTATGTTGCATATTGCGTGCTGCATGTTGCGTGTTGCATGTTGCATATTGCATGTTAC